AACAAAGAAAATGCCCATTTTAACTTTTTATCACTCCATTGAAGTGCAAAGTACATTTCACAGTGTCTTGGAAATGTTGTTACGGCCCCAACTTCTACTCCGCGGTAGTGGATCGTGCTGAGACCCGCAACATGAAAGAATACACGCAATAACCGGTACTTGGTAACGAGCATTTATTGATAATCAGCCGTTTGCTCACAAAAGTGAAACGGGAAACAAAAAGATGTCTGTAGGACTGGCCAAAAGGAACAAACAGAAGGAGGGAACCCGAGCCAGCCACACCACGGGCCGTAGGACCCAGAGCTCCCCCCCCTAACCAGAAATCAAATATAAACCCTATGGGAAACAAAATAAAGCCGAGAAAACTGGACTACCAGGTCCTCCGGGCTAAACATAAACACATCAGCAAAAATATGGCCTATAGGCTACAGCTCAAAATAGCAAAGAGATATTCTAAGGAGTGTCTCCCGGCGTTAGGATAGGCGAGACATCCTTCTCCTCCAGCTTCTCTTTATATCTCCACGACTGAGTGGAATTTGGAACACCTGGGCAGAGGCGGAGCCAGGGGCAGACCAGGTGCACCTGCGCAGCAGGGAGACAGAAAAGAAAACAAGGAGGGGAGCACGTAACAGGTCTTTGAACCAATCTTAGTCTGGCCCCTTGCCTGAGACCAATTTGCCATGGGAGACCCTACCAGGAACACAAGGTTCCAGACAACACAGCCCCCAGGTTCATCAGGGCACACAAACCTCTCCAACAATTAATATTAATAATAATAATAATAATATTGAATCGCAACGGCACCAATACATTCTGTTAAAATCCTCTATACCAGCATATTTAAAACAATGCAACCATGTCACCAGCAGCTTTGTGTGAGATGCACCTACTTGCCATGGTCAGGTTATAGATATAGGTGATAGGAAAAACCAGCTGAATGTTTTACTTTCTGCCCAAATGTATTGTCAGCCCACATGATTAAAAGCAGCCCTGTTTGGTGTGAAAATATCTAGGTGCCTAAATGTCAAAAAACCCTAATGCAATACTGGTACAATTGCTCTTAAGGACAATGCAACAGAGATCTCAGATCTGGTGAACATCTGTGAAATTAAATGCACTAAACTGGTTAAAGTTGTAGGGGAAAACTAACCATAGGACAACCTGGACAACCTCACTAGAAGCTGAAAATTTCACTTTAAGTATTTGTTTTGCTGACGCAGAGCAGTTTTACTCAGCCTTTCACAGCTGCAGGAGGGATCTCTCATATTGATCGTTGGCACTGTGATGATTCTGCCGAGTGGGCACTTTCAAGTGGACTGGGTCAGTTGTTCCAGATGTGTCTCGTTCAATGCAGTTTGTGAACTGGAGCAACAGCGTGTTATGTTGGTAAAAGCTGTTGCTATTGCTGTACTGGAAGTTCACAAAGATATTCTAGACCACCATAGTTACCACCTGCTGCATTAAAGTATAATTTAATGCATGTATTGTTAGGAGGCATTTATTAAATACATAATATTCTGAAATGTACCATTCTGCAAAATGAGTGCTTTTACTTATGGTACTTTGGGGATTAGAGAGAGAGAGAGAGAGAGAGAGAAAGAGAGAGAGAGAGAGAGAGAGAGAGAGAGAGAGAGAGAGAGAGAGAGAGAGAGAGAGAGGTTGCTCTTGTTATTGTGAAATTATATAACAGAATGGGGTCAATTTGACCTTTTCTTTTTAAATAAAAAATGAATAGGCCTACCTGTTTGTAATCATACTTCATGCTTCTGTGATTTATAAGTGTGAGAATGAAAAGGAAAAAACATTTGATAAGCGAACCCTTTGTTGCATATTTTTAGCTTTGCATCTCAGAACTGATTACCCTGAATCCACTTTTGTGTATATGGCTACTCAGATGTTTATGAACTGCAGTCCAAAAGGTACACAAACATGGTGGTGAATTGCATTCTTTTTTTTATAGAACATATAGGTAGACAGTAAAGGGTAGTGAGAGGGGAGGAGATGCAGCATGGAGTGCAGTAAGACGCAATCTAAGTACACAGGGCGCTCCCCGAGCCACTGGGGCGCCCTGTATTATCTTTTTTCCAGTGCCACACTCTTGAGAAAACATTATGAAAGTCAGTAATCAAAGTAGAGAGATAACTTTTATGCATGCAAAATCATTGTTGTTTTTAAGAAGATTGTGAAACCCATGTAGAGTTGTTGTAAACAACATACATGTGTAGCAGTGGAGAGTGACTGTATGATATCTCCAGAGCCCGGTGAGAGAGCACGTCTCGTATCCCCTGCTTAGTGATGAACAGGTTAATTATTAACGTAAAGCTCCTGAGTCTAATTGTGCAACCTGAAGTTTGTATCTGTTTGGCAAACAAGTGTACTCTGTAGAGGGCGGCTCACTGGGGCTTGTCAGGTCTCTACGCAAGTTCTGCGTCATTAATCAGGACTGCAGGGGATTGGACCAAATCCTTGTCCAAAACAAACTTTCTGCCACTGAACCCCAGTGGATGCTAACTCAGCAGATAACCTTTTTGCAGTCTATCAGACACAATGATGCTATTGCAACACTTTTGGCAGCAGGATTTGAGTGAAATAGAAAAATACATGAAGAAGTGTCAAAACTACTAAGCTACTTTCAGTGAAACTGAGAGCAGGGTGCAGGTGAAGTAATGTGTGCATAAAAATGCTCCTACTTACAGGCCGTCTGAAGAAAAAACAGTGTGCCCTTTTTCTGAAGAAATGTTCAAATGAGAACCCTTCTGTTTAGTGTCTATATGCTAACATTCACCAGTCTATAATTAAAGAGCCTTCTTTGGTATTACAGTTAGCATTATATTGGAAGGAAACCTTTCTTTTGTGTTGTAGATACTTCACCACTTTAGTAAAAGACCTACTCTGATGATGTATATTTTACTCATGGGGAGATGGGTTAAAAGAGAAAAGAAAACAGTAGGGTTACGAAAAGGCATTGCACTCCTGTAGAATTTTAAGCCAGATGAAAAAACAGACCTGCTGCAGAAGATATCATGTCTTTTTTATTCCACCCATTCTTTTCTTTCTTTTTAAAAACATTTCTATTGTGTTATGCTAGTAGTGGCTAATGTACCCTCACAAGCCCGTTGTCTGCAGTGTTGAGAATTCAGAGGTCTGTTAGCTCTTTTCTTTCTTTTTTCATTGGAATCTTTAGCCCCAACTGATGCTACTTCACAATACATCCCTTTTATCAGTTTCAGCCATTCATAAGCCTTAACACAGCTAAATAAGGTTCTCCCCAAGGCTGTAAACAGACTTTGATGTAGAAAATAGAAATCACAAATGTTGTGAATCATTTACCCTTCTTATGGATTAGCAGCCTGTCCATGGAGTAACTGGTCTCTTACCTGAACAACATTTCAAATGTGAGGCCACTTTTATTAAATGCATGATTGTGCAAACTTGGACAACCGCTAGTAGCCCAGTTCCATCCAAACCTTTCAAACGAAAAAGAAAATGTTCTGATTAAAATCTGATTAAAAATTGATCATAATTTGAATGTAATCAGTTGAAGAGCACCTGCTATACTGTAAAGGTATTTAAGGCTCATTCTAAGAAAAAGATTAAACCTGATGATTCTTAGCTTAAGATCATTCAGTAGTAATGAAAACATGTTATGCATATTATATTTTATTTCTGCTAATAGCTCCTGCTTAATACACACTGGCCCTTGAACTCTTACTTTCCCTTGCATACACTTTGACGCAGTGGAGCAAGATAGAGAGAGAATCCAGCACGTAATTCCTGTCTCTGTTAGCTTTTTCAGATAAAGCCAAATACGTACATATGAAGACAGAGTCAACAGATCAATACCTTTTACGCAATGAAGTGGTCCCGGGGCCTTACAAATACTCGCATGCTCCCACAGTTAGTCATATTCAGACTGAAAGATTGCAAGCAACAACAAGACTCTTGCTCTGATTTCGCAAAGAAAAGTGAGAGCAGATTAGATTAAATTGCAGAACAGAAAATCTACAGTCAACATAGATCATATTAAATACATTCTTCAAGTCCAGTGGATCCAACTCATCTGCAAAATGCAAGCTGTTGCTCAGTGTTCAGTGTGCACCAGCCGGGCTGCTGGAGGACTTCTGCGAAAACAGACCGACTTTCCACTGCTGCGGAACAACAAGAGTGCTCTCAGGAGAGGAGCAGCCTGCATCCGTCTCCTAAGGTAGGTTATGAATATTAGAAAATTACATATAATATATAGTAGCAATACAGTCTATATATTTTTCCCGCCGAGTGCTGCCTTTTATAGCTCATGACTTTCAACTTTTTGTCCTCATTTTTCTACAGCAATTCTGAGAGTGTGCTATTGAGCAAAGGGGAGCCTGGAGTCCAGAAATTAGGACAGAAACGGACAGATACTGCACACAGAGGGCCTTTGAGTGTTGGACATGGGCTTGCTTTTCCTTTTACACAGGTAGGTCAGTCTCCTACCAGAGACCAAATAAAAGCAACCAAACAATTATTGTGTACCTTTGAAAAAAGTCTGTTTTTCAAAGAAAAAAAGAATGGAGTTTAAATTATGTTTTCTTTTCCATCTGTAGCAAATTGAAAACCTCTCTTACGACTCCCTGATCATAAGAGCAGCCTCTGTGGTTACAGACAGTTCAAGTACTTTGCTCTCCCAGACCTCATTGGCTCTCGTAAATGCCCTTACAGATTACTCAAAGGTAGGTTTTCATCCAATGTGCAGCATTATATCAATAGCTTATGATTTCCAACCACAGTCTGAGAAGAAAAATCTAAATAAATATATTGTCAGGCTTTACTAAACAACACAAAGATCATCAGTGTCCACATTGTTAGTTTTAATTGCAGCTAAATCTCTGCATCTTTTCATGATTTTACACAGAGAATAATAGCACTAATAAATGACACTGACTTTAGTTTCTTTATGTTTTTTGTACAACTCCAGACTTTAATTTACATTTTAAAATGTCCATGTACTGTCCCTGACTGTCTGTCCTTCTTCTGTTTGCTAACAGGCTGTGCAAACACGCATCATTGTCCAAAGACGGTATTTAGCTTCACTGGGAAAACTGACCCCATCAGAGGAGGATTTGTTTCTGGCGGCAATCAATGCCCAGCGTGCAGAGGTTAGTTTTGGAAAATAAACCTTGATGTACTCTAGCATTCTGGGTTTCTTAAAATGAGCTTTCAGTCTTTGCAAAAAGGATAGATTAGATACATTTATAATATTGAGTGGTTCTCATCTCTGTTCTTATCTGTTTGCCCTTACAGGCAACTGACAGGCTACAAGAATGCAAACACTTTGAGACAAACTGGATCAATTCGGTCAATTTGTGCAAAATGGCAGCCGAGGCAGCACACTCTTCAGGTGGGTAACATGTCAAAGGACAGCTGCATCTCTTAATGCATAGTGAAAATTGTGAAATGTTGCTGTATTTATAATGATGGAACAAGGAGTGGATTCAAATCACTTCTGATTTTGATTTATGATACCATGTGTACACATTGGTAGAGCTTCAGTAAAAGAAAAATGATTTTAAGTTCCACATTGAATATTTTAACTTATGATAGCGTTATGTCAACCCTTGAACTTTCTTAGCACTTTGACTAAATGTGTGTTATCATCTGTGTGTTTGCAGGAGCCGATCAGGCCTCCATCACAGTGAGGGCAAGCATCCAGGTGGCCCAGTCCCAGGTGGGGGAGGCTCGGAAACTGGCTGCGACTGCAGATAAGAAGTTGGCCGAAACTAAAGCAGAAGAGATCCAAAGAATGGCAGAATATGTTGCCTTTCTAGATGGAGAGGAGCATGAGGTGCATGAGGCTTACCTACGAGAGGACTAAGTGATTGATTGATTGATTGATTGATTGATTGATTGATTGATTGATTGATTGATTGATTGATTGATTTCCCTATCATGTCTCTATTTATTTTTGAGCCTGCAAGATCTATATGTGTTTGCATTTACACAAAGAAGATCAACATTTGACAAACTGAATGAAATAAGTACCTTCTATTTGTAATTCTTTAATGTTGCATGAATCCTTATTTAAGACTATTTATTTGATTAGTTAATATTAACAGCCCTTTTCTGATAAATTATGAAGTTATGATTCAATTCTTCAGTATATATTGGTGAGGGCTTACCCGACATTGGATTACATTGTTGTTTATTTTATATTTATTGTATTTTAAAGCTATCGTTTCCGCTATTGTATTTTTCCATGTTCATGTAATAGAACATTTAAAATAAATCTTTGAGTATTTGAATATGTTTATGGGTCCTTGTTTGCCGTCATATTACATGATCCTAAATGACTGGGTGTGGCTTTGTGGTTATTACCAGGTTTGGGGAAAAATGGAAATCATGGAAAACGTTTTAGCATACAAGAAAAGGACACGTTTCTTTACAGTTACGGTTACTCTAAAACAGACATATTCAGATGACCGAGTATACATTTGGATTTTAAACAGGATTACAAATGTAAGATACATTTTAAAATAAGGAACTATATATTACCATTTGCGCAGACAGTAGGCAATTGCAGAGGGAAATGGCCGCTTTGACCAGAACAGATGGACAAATGACTCAAAACCTCCTCTGTAGCTGTCCTGCTAGTTGGTGTCTCCAGAAGGACATTTTGCCATGATGAGACACAAGCAGACTCACAAAGTTGAACAAACAAAAGTGTCACGTCTGGTAAAATCAATAAATAGCACAGAAAAAAATAAAAGCCCCGTTGAACTTCTGTTAGTTCAAATGGATTCAAGGATTCCAACACTTGAGTGTTTTTTCAAGTTTTTCTTGGCACAAGTGAACTGTATGCAGTTTGTGATATTATGGAATTATATTATGGCAACAGCAGCTGTTGTTAAAAGCTATTGATTTAGGTCAAAATCAAAATGCAAAATTGCCACGTCAATTTAAATAAGGAATGTTCTTTGCATCAACAAAAAAAACCTTCTGAATGACAATAATGTATACTGCAACACACATTGATGAGTTAAGCAAAGATATGCATGTGTAATTTCTGTAGTGCTTAACATTCAGTGTATTTGCAATAATGATATCTATTGTGAGGTTTATTTGTATAGCAATGTAGTGAAATTCCAGTTTATAACAACTTTTTGAACATACGTCCAAATCTTAGCTACTGTGAAAGTGAATTAAAGGTTTAGTCATTTTCGATATGTTTCAATAAAATAATTTAAATGTTAGTAAAATGCTTTTCTTGAAG